ATGGATGGATTTTTCAACATTTTCTTCGCTGCTCTTGACTTTCTATCAGGATACCATCAGATCGATTTTTCTCGAAATTTCAAAACGCCATAACTTCCGAACCGGAAGTCGGATCGAAATTTGGTTTGCAAATTCTGATTCCTGAGAAAATTCTATTCTTCATTCATAACTCAAACGTTAAATTTGGAGAATTTTTATCAAACCATCGGTGGGATATAGTCGTCATACTGGTCGTGGTCGTGATCGTGATCGTGATCGTGATCGTCCCGCTTTTTGTCATCGCCGTTTAAGGAAAACTGCTCATCAGATTTTCTCCAAATTCGCAGAGATGATAGAGCATCTGAAGTACTAGAGCTGATTCACTTTTGGGTGGCCATCTTGTTTTCTGGCGGCCATTTTGAAGGTTTTTCGAAAAATCTTGTCATCGCCATTTTAGGAAAACCGCTCATTGGATTTCCTTCAAATTTACACAAATGATAGAGGATATCAAGTACTAGAGCTGATTAACTTTTGGGCGGCCATCTTGTTTTCTGGCAGCCATTTTGAAGATTTTTCGAAAAATCTTGTCATCGCCATTTCAGAAAATCCGCTCATCGGATTTCCTTCAAATTTACACAAATGATAGAGGATATCAAGTACTAGAGCTGATTAACTTTTGGGCGGCCATCTTGTTTTCTTGTTCTTGAAATTTGTAAACATAATAGGAGAACAGTTTTCCTGGTTCATAGTGTCTGCCTATTTGATGGTGTGATCTCGTTCACGTCCTGTGCCTTGTTTATTTTGACCTACTTTTTGGACACCATATCTCAAAAGTGGGTTAAAATACTTTCTGACGGCAAAAGGCTAACACTTTTAGTACACTCTTGGCTACATATATACACAATTTCGAAGAATATAATTGAAGTGTAGTGTCAGAATCACAAAAATAAGGAAAACTTTGAATTTGACCTAGATTTTGACCTAGACATTTTTGTATCCTTTTGAAGCTAGATTGCTTTTGAGGTACCTTTCATTTAAAGGCTTTCATTAAATTTAGCTGTACTCGGTCGTATATATGTCGTATTTTACACTTCAAAAAATAAATTCCCATTGACTTAACATGGGGCACCAAATTTAGCGATTAGAGTGATTAGAGTGTTGGTTTAATGATATTGCAGTTATACAATGCTATTATATAGAGGTATATTTACTGAGAGAGATTCAATATTGGTTTTATTCCGGGACACATTATGATATTTCCCGAGGGCCCAGGGGGAATCTGGGATTACTGTACCTCTATCAATTTACCTTTTCGGGACCTAAATCCTATTACCTACCTTTTTACTCAATCGGGGAAAACGAATCAAAAGAGAACGATACTTCTACATGTGCGCCGTGCAAGATTTCCAATAGCTCGTCGTGTTTACCGAGAACGAAAGATGTTTGTCCACCATTTTGAATGATACTAACTGGTATCAGGGTCATCAAGCTATGGAACATGGGTTTATGATAATAGATTGGGTTACTATAGCTTGCAATGTTAAAGGCGATTGAACTATGTTATAAAACAACTTCCAGTACATTATGATATTTAAAAGTATAAATTTTTGAAAATACATACAGTATAAAGAATCTTCGCCCGCAGGACGCGTATTTTGAATGCCTGAGAAGAACGCAAATGGGTACTGGCCCGGTGTTGCAATAGTAGCATTTAAAAATCTGTTCCTCTCGAGATTTATGGTCTTCTGAAATTATACTATTAATTGGTGTTGTTGCATCATTGCTCAAATCTAGAGGAGTGTTGTTGCATCTTCGGGTTGGTGTTGTTGCATCAATAGTGAGGAACTAAAACCGTGAACTTCTTGCTTCTTGATGGTGCTACATGTCCCGGGCTACATGTATACTAATGACAGTTTCTTTAAATACAGATCGTGTGCTAACTTAACGTGTATGGTTATTGAGAAACTCGTCCTAGAAATGGGTTTAAATTGGGGAAACAACATATCGTAAGAAAATCTATCACCGGAAGTCTGGCCATCTTGATGCATTACGCCTGATTTGGTACAAACGGCAAAGCATAACGTCAACTCTAAAGTTGTTTAATTCAATGAAAATTAAAAATATCAAAATCAACAATTACAGTGCGCCATCTTAGATGCGAAGGTTATGGCCATTACCTTCGCTTGGTACTGACCAGTGTCCTTGCTCTGTTACAAATTTTCATTGCCCTCTGTTTGTAACCCCCCCCCTCCTTCTTGATAAAAGCCATGAATATGAGGATGATTTTGAGGTATTATGTTTTATGATAAATGAGTTCATATAACTTAATCCAAGTCATAACTGTTACTAGTATGCAATTCACACCAGCATCAGATAACATCATACTCAATGGATGGAACGGTTCATTACTTTTCAATTGCATAAAATGGCTAAATGATACCTTGACAAATGTATTAATCAATTTTAACTCATAGCTCTTTATTATTATTATTATGTTTATTTTCCCTCCATGATAGGAGATAAATATATAATAATTAGGATACATAAATTGCATTGAATGTATATAATAGTGAATGATCGATGAACATCAAGTATACGTAACTATACTGTATGTACTAATGTTATATAGCCAATATCGCAAATCACTACTCCCATGTTTGCGTAAAAATTCTAATAGATGAAATAGATCGTATTGATTTTGAGTGATTTATGTGCGTGCCATTATCACCTCGATAGAAAGTTCTAGTTTAAAAGTTTCCTTCTCTTTGAAGATACATGCCTCGTATGTCACATGCAATTGCTTTTAGTTCATTTGGACTTAAACGGTCATCTCCTCCGAAAATCAACATCATTTTCTCCTGAATTTTGAAAAATGGCCGCCATTTTACCGTATTTTACTATAACTCGAAAAGTAGTAGAGCGATTTTGTTCATATTTGATATGTGAATACTTTAAGCATGGCACATTGTCTAATAAAACTTTAGGGAGTAGTCGGCCATTTTGAAAAATGGCCACCATTTTTATATGTGTTATTTTACAAGTACGTGTGCGATTTTTCAAAAATTTTAGAGGTGGCTACTAAAAAGCATATTATTTCTTCTGATGACAACTTGGCTAGTGAGCAACCATTTTGAAAATGGTGGCCTTTCTGGTGTGTTGTTTTATGATATTTGCGATTCGTTTGTAAAAATGCCAGCCATTTCTGTTCGATGGGATTCGCTACGCTTTGGCGTTGCCGTTGTTCTGGTTTGACCATTGATGACCTATGATAGGGAAGGGTCATGATAACACTTATATAAAATATTTAAAGTAGCTAATAATGATAATGAACATATTACAATGTTACACAATGTTAGTAGATGCTAATTAAATGTCAATTGTTGTTAGTGTAATATGTATTTTTCATTTAATGCTGCAACAATAACACAAGTACCAAAATGTGCCATGCCCACTATTCCCTAAACGCAGTTGTGTGTGAATACATTTGATAAGTATTATTCATTTATGGGATAGTTTAATATAGATTTTAGTGCTTTAGTGTGAATACATACATACTAATTCAACTTTTGACAAAGTAGCAGCCACAAAATCCAAACAAATTTGCAAATATTTCACTTTGAGAACTAAAGGACACATTTGGGACGGGGTCAAATTGAGAAGATTGTGAGATATAAATACTGTTTCCTTGGTAACCATATAAGTCAGAGATTGGAAATTTCTGGCACTGACTAACCATGGCATGCCATACCCACTATAAAGCGATGAATATCTGATATGCATTAGTATTATTTTTATTGGGTGGTATTAAAGTACCCCCAAGGTTTTGTTGGGGAAGGGGTATAAATTGGCCTGAGGGCCTTCTGCCACCCCTACATAAAGTCCAACTACCCAGAAAGTGTCCAGCACAATCATACAGATTGTTTGAAATATGTTGGAATGTGTGACCTTTCATGAAAAGCAGAATGCATTTCTAGAGCACTTCTACAGAATAGTCCGGAGTCTACAATATTAAATTCCACAGAAACTACAACTTACATTATTTAGATAAGCCTATTATAGAGCAGTTATCAAATACCCTAATATCAGAGTGGTGATATGTAATTATTCATCAAATAAAAGTGATGTCAACTTAACATTTCACCTGGTGCAACTAATACTGTAATTCCTATTTTTTATACTAATAAGAAAAAAAACTTCACAAAACTTGTATTTTAGATGATGACAAGCCTATACAAATGATTTAAATGTCAACCCTAATACAAATGTGATGCATTGTGATAGTTAGTCATCAAAACTATAGTCTCCCCTATAGTGGGCGGGGCAAAACTATGAAAATGAAATAATTTTTTTCTTCCTTAGTATACAGGGTAGAATTCTGACACTCACCAAATATGAAGTTCATATGAATATGTAACACCATGATTTTTTTCATGCTTTTCTGACAAACTGATCCTACGATATCTAAATAGATATGTGATAGCATGCCTGTTATGTGGCCTATTTTGTTGAATACTTGACTTAAGTATTCAATTTTGGAAGAAAAAATTGTTTCCTACCAATACTCAATTTTGTGGTAGGGTTGTAGGGGGTACCTAGGAAATGAAATTTCATATTTGTCCACTGCATACATTTTTCTATATTTTTGATATGTTTTTCAACTGATATCAATACATAATATAAGACTAATTTAAAAACTGTTGCAATTTTTGGGATGTTTGGGCCTTTTAAGAGCCCATTTGCTTGGCCTATCAGACCTGATTTAAACACAATAGGGAGACAGTTATCCTATCCAGGAGACCTCCCCTTTAGTTAATAAAATACACTTCCCTTCATAAGTTTACAACCAGAAGTCTTGCTTAAATGTGTAAATCCTTAATCCTTAATTAAAGATATGAGTCTTAGTGCAATCGCCAAAAATAAACATGTTTTAACAAGAGATCCAGTAAGGGACTCTCAGTTGTCACACTTATTTTGGGGGTGTACCAGTCCATTGTCAAGCCTCATTTCTTATGTACCAATAGATTCTGACAGAAAATGGTGGAAACCCAAGTGGTGCTGAGATGCTTTTGCTGAGTGACGGTGAAGAGAATAGGTCCCCCGTGATTGCCGACCTCCAACCAATACTTGTGTCGAATGGGGTAAAGGTTGACGTCATAGCGTACAGTGCCGCCGCAGATCTTGGTAGGCCTTTTTGTCACAATGTATTGTTATTTATATATTTTTCATTAAATCATATTACATAGAGTAAGTCAGATTTACATCAGGACAATGGCTAGGATCAAAAATATAATTAACTACATTTTTTTAATATACAGACTTGAAACTTGTAGTTTTGCAGTATGTTTTGATATCGTGATGGTTTTAAGCTTTTTAGAAACAGTAATTCAAGAGCTAGTGTCTATCTAAATCTTATTTGTAAAATCAAAAAAGTCAATGTCTGTGCCATACTGGTATTAGCCGGTGTCTTTCATATTTGCTGTTTGTTCTCCAGACATGAGTGCATTGGCCACTGCTACAGGGGGAGCGTCCTACTTCTACTCCGGTGCCGCATCATCTACAGCTCTCAACGATGCCATGAGTAGTGCGGCGCAAGACAGCACCCAAACCGATAGAATAGTTGTGGTGAGTAGTAACAGGTGTTTGCATTGTATATAAATATTGACTGAATCTGACTTTACTTGTTCCATTATCCCCGGTCCCTGAATAAAATAAACGTAACGTTTACTGGACTGAACGAGACATAATATAACAACAGAAATTCTTCCTTCACTTTAGATAGCGAGTGCTGCAATCACCATTGGGGCCATGGAAACCTACAACGGAACGTTCACATTGGATTCCAGTATAGGAAAGGACACGTCGATTTCGCTGTCGTATGACACAATTGTCTCCCTGATAGTGTATTCCCCAGATGGACAGAATTTCACCCTCGACAGCGCAGAGTTCCAGCATTATCCCGCGTTCAAAGTCTTCCGAGTTCTCTTTGCTCAGGCTGGCGTAAGTGCTAGTTGTCTCGTGATTCATCACAGCTTTATTTGAAAAAACCCTCAACAACAATAGTCATAATTTTAATTAAGGAACAGATTCGCTGTTGTATTCTTTTCTTATTTTATAGGAGCTCTTTTAAATACGCATATATGTATTGTCTTTTTCTATTTACCACACAGCCTGGACGATGGAGATACGACATCACGGCTGGTAATGCAATCAGCAAGATCCAACTCAATATTCACTCGAGCGCCAGTAGCGACCTAGGAGCGATCTCAGCCATACCTATGATCTCAAGCTCCACGGCAACGTTCTCCGATAACATGACATTCAGCATCTACGCCGAGGTAACGCAAGGAGGCTTTCCGGTGGTGAATGCCAATGTGAAAGGATTGATTGAGTGCCCAATTAATGATGTAGTTGTTAAACTTCAATTGAAGGACAATGGTGCAGGTGAAGTTAATATCCTAAATTGAGCAGTTATTCTAAGTATTGACTTTTATTTACAAGACAATAGATAAGAGTTTGCATAACTCACTACAATGTACGTCCTTTTGGATGATCCATATTTCTCCACGGTATGTTTCTGTTTTGAATCTAAACTGAGACTTCACTTAGAGTTACCATCAAAACGACCTTTTCAAACTTAATCCGATTAACAAGTTAGACTTGATCTTCCATATGATCTCCAAATAAATAGTTGTTATTAACCTGGTCATGTCTCCATCTGACTCAAAAAGGCCCTCATCATTTTTATTTGGCATAACTCCTACGGAAAGATGACTTATTTGGACGACATTGCAACAACTCACTTAATATATATCATTATTCAACGCCCCTTCAACTTTACTTTGACTTCCACAATATTCCTTCAATAGAATAAACATGAAGACTAGAATCAGAGCGAGTAGTATGTATAATGAGGATTCTAATTCTTATTCTTAGGTGCTGACATTACTATGAACGATGGTGTCTATTCTGCATTCTTCATGGCCACCGACGCCAACAGTAACGGCAGGTACAGCATTAAGGTTCAGGTTACCAACAAGGAAGGAACACAAGTCCAAGTATCCGGAATGGCTGAAGGTGCAGCCTCTGTTGGCCTTGAAGGTATGAACATCTAGTATCTTCAACCCATATAAATGGTGCTTGATTTTACAAACTCTTTCATTCATGTGATAATACTCATCATCTAAATACTCATTAAAGGAACTGGAAATATTCGTTGAAATAAATCCACAATGTGCACATCGAATACATTTAAGGTAATATGGATGCCACTTACTCAAACGTTAGTGACCTTAGTCGAACAGCATCGGCTGGAGCCCTCACACTCAATGGATTCCCATACGTGGGCTATGTTGCGTCGGATGTTATTGCACCATCTAGAATCACCGATTTGGCGGTAGTTGAAGTATCTGACGTGGCCAGTAGAGCAACGCTGCAGTGGACTGCAGTAGGAGACGATTTGGACCAGGGGACTGGTATGCATATGACATTTCAATATTTTAAAAGCTAATTCATGTAGAAGGAATTTATAAATAAGATATCTATAAGTAAATTCTTCTTTACGTTTATCATTAATTTTTAATTGTAGCAACTCGCTATGAGATACGTGCAGCGGAGAGTTTTGATGACCTATTCAACATGGTCAACTACACCACAATGCCCGATATGCTGGTCGTATCTGGAAATCTGACGACTCCCAAAGCGAGTGGTGAAACGGAGGTTGTCACCATTCTGTTCCCTAGCGTGAGCGCGTCGACGTTTTCGTTCGCCGTAGTTGCAATTGATGAACGGAACAACACAGGTGACATGTCAAATATCGTTACAGCCTCCTCCGTCTATTCCACCGATGACCTAGGTCTTGGAGGGAGTGGTACAACGTCTCTCACCATCACAACATCTCTCATGCTAATGGTTGTCGGTGTTTGGTTGGTAATTTGAGACATACCATTTCTACATGTACGTCGGATGGCGAATTGTAACGTTTGCTATTCAATGTACTGTATATGAGAGGTTGCATCGCGGATATATACAGTATCCGACTTTATAGGTGGTTAACTCTCGATAAGACCTCTTTTCATCTGCCCATTACATCTCAGACTTAAGGAATACCAGCAAGTTCAAATACATACGAATAAGTATGAAGACAACAAAATATATTGAATTACCTCATGTAGTGACGAACTGCAGTCTTCATTAAAGAAGAAATACATGTAGGCATATGGTTAAGACTTAGACCCTAGGACTCATTCTAACGAGATGGGTGAATTCATTGTGTGGCAGCATATGAATAAATAACTCAGTACAAAATTTTCCTGTAATTCTTTATTAGGCTAAGTATAGTAAAATAAAATCCAATTTAGAAGTTATATCGTTTACTAGTGATTTATAAAAATACAAGTATGCATACAGGGTGTACGAGAGTATGGGACCCCTCCCCCTAGGAGACATAAACCAATGTCCCTATAGTACATGTGAAATACCTGTAACTTTTTACCATTTGTCAGTTAAGCCATGATACTTCGTAAATCAATGTAACTTTAAATAATCTTTAAAATGATATATGGCATATACTATGGAGACATTGATTGGTATATGTCTGCTTAGGAGGGGTCCCATACTTTCGGGACACCCTGTATGTACATCCCAATCACATAAGAAAGATAATGAAAAACTAGAGAGAGCAAAGTATACACACAAGCCTCAATTAAGAGGTTCTAAAATGAGGATAAACATATAAGATATATTTAAATATGAGTATTAAAATATATACGAAATTATATGCAGTATATTTTCACAAGGTTCAGTCAATGTTTAGACGTTGTTGTCATACTGCTGAGAATGAGCAATAGGTTATCATTATGCGGGATTCGTGGTGAAACTAGCCCCTGGGTACACGTACCTCGGGAGATTGTATCCATTATTATCAAGGGAATGTACATTGGATAGGTTTGCAACATTTTTAGTTGGAGGAGTTTCCAACACTTCATCTTTCTGTTTTCTTGCCTGGGTACGTCTGTTGTACAAACAAATAGCGATAACTATGCATATAAGGATCAGAAAACCGAGTACAACACCTATAATGGCAAAAATTAGAGTTAAATTATCTTGGGGTGCCGCCTCTTCTCTGGTAGTAGCATCTGTCGTCGTTGGTGTTGTTTCTACATTTATCTCTTCAGGGACGTCCTCCATCAACGCAGTGACAACATTGGAGTAAGGACTCGCTTTGCCAGCGTCGTCCCAACTTCTCATCACAAATGCAAACACGATGTCTTTGCCAGATCTAGGGAGTTTAATAACGATCCTGTGTCTGGAGTTTGCGGGCTGAGGAACAAGATCTCCTTCGATGAGATAGAATTTGTTCACAATAGAAGCATTTGATGGGTCATCCAATAATAATTCGAAGTCATCGTGCATATACACTTCAAATCTCGCAACTAAAAAACGAAAGATTTATCACAAGAAAGTGCATCAAAATAGAAAACGAGGCATTAACATGACAGAATGTAGATGATTTTGAAAAATAAATTGGTCAATTTGAAGCAAGTTGTGAAAATACATTTTTTTGACCCTGAGAAGGTCATTGAAGGTAGAATCTCAAATCTAAAGTCAGACTTGAACTTCTGGGAACTTGAAGATGATTTTGAAAAAATTAGTCAATTTGGAGCAATATGAAAAAAGACCTTTTTTCACTTTTCACAAGAAAGTGCATCAAAATAGATAACAAGGCATTAAAAAATGTCACCACCTTGTTGCTCACAATATTATGAGTTCAATCTTAGTCAGATTTGAATTTCTTAGAACTTGTAGATGATTTTGAAAAATAAATATGTCAATTTGAAGCAAGTTGTGACAATACGTTTTTTGACCCTGAGAAGGTCATTGAGGGTGGAATCTCAAATCTAAAGTCAGACTTGAACTTCTGAGAACTTGTAGATGAGGAACAAGATCTCCTTCGAGGAGATAGAATTCGTTCACAATAAAAGCCTCTGATTGATCATCCAATAATAATTCGAAATCATCGTGCATATACACTTCAAATCTCGCAACTAAAAATGAAAGATTTATCACAAGAAAGTGCATCAAAATAGAAAACGAGGCATTGACATGACAGATTGTAGATGATTTTGAAAAATAAATTGGTCAATTTGAAGCAAGTTGTGAAAATACAATTTTTTACCCTGAGAAGGTCATTGAAGGTAGAATCTCAAATCTAAAGTCAGACTTGAACTTCTGGGAACTTGTAGATGATTTTGAAAAAATTGGTCAATTTGGAGCAATATGAAAAAGGCCTTTTTGACCTTGAGAATGTCATTGAAGTCAGCTTTGAACTGTCGAGAACTTGTACCTGTAGATGATTTTGAAAAAAAAGATTGGTCAATTTGAAGCAAGTTGAAAAATACCCTTTTGACCTTTTTGGACCTTGAGAAGGTCAATTAAGGTCAAATCTCAAATCTAAAGTCAGATTTGAACTTCTGATGACTTGTCGATAATTTTGAGAAAAGAATTTGGTCAATTTGAAGCAAGTTGAAAAAATACCTTTTTGACCTTTTTGGACCTTGAGAAGGTCAATTGAAGGTCAAATCTCAAATCTAAAGTCAGATTTGAACTCTTGATACATCCTTGCTGCAAGTGTATTTTACAAGTATAGAATTTAAAGGACGATTCTCGGTTTGGAGAACGAAGTTCATCAATCTAAATGAGCATTATCCCTGCTTCGGACAAATTTGTTTTTTTACATAATATAGATTTGAATGTCTTCTTTTGAATAATCATAATTTAATTTGGGTAATATTTCTAGATTTTTCGCAAAAAAATATTAGCGCAGTACACTGATGAACTTCTTTCCCCAAATCGAGACTTGTATTTTATTGAATCGGTCTAATTGAACCTTATCCCTGCTTCAGACCAATTTGTTATTTTTACATCTTGTAGATTTAAATGTCCTCTTTCGGATATTCATAGTTTGATTTGGGTAATATTTCTATATTTTTCATGAAACAATTATTAGCCCAGGAGACTGTTCTCCAAACCGAGAATCGTCCTTTAAAAGAATTTAAGCATAAGTGAAGTCCTTTGAAGAAGGATGCCCTGATAACTTGTAGATAATTTTGAAAAAATGGTCAATTTGAAGCAAGTTGAAAAAATACCTTTTTGACCTTGAGAAGGTCATTGGAGGTCGAATCTCAAATCTAAAGTCAACGTTTAAATATAAAGTCAGATTTGAACTTCTGGAAACATGTAGATGATTTTGAAAAAAATGAAGTCAGTCTAAACAGTATTTGTTAAGTAATTGGAAGTTGTAAGAATTTGTTACAGACCGCCGATCGCCGATGATTTTGAAAAAAATGAAGTCAGTCTAAACAGTATTTGTTAAGTAATTGGAAGTTGTAAGAATTTGTTACAGACCGCCGATCGCCAACCACCAACCGCCGATCGCCAACCGCCGTCAAAAAACGGAGACCACAACATTATGTCACCACTTTTTGTGGGTGACATAGAAAACCAATGATTTACGACGTCTGTACAGTATAAACTTACCTGTTCCGAAATTAAGGTCATCTCCCGGTGCCGTCCATTCCAATGTGACGGTCTCGTTCTGTTCTGAGAAGTCGGTCATTTTCAAATCAGTGACCTTGTTTGGCGGGAAAAGGTCAATGTCTTCCGTACCAGCAGCAGATGGAAGTTTATCGACACCAACGGCTCCAGCAGAGCTCTGCCTTTGTAAATATGGTATGGGCTCTTCGACAGTTTCAATATTATCTAGAAAGTAGACTTTCTGATGTAGAGTCATTTCTAGGCTAGCGCCTGTACTATTAATTGATATAAACTCTTATAATGTTTCATAAAGTTCAGCGAAAAGCTATGGTTAATTTGTATAGCAAAGAATGACTTCCTATAGGACATAAAAACAAAATATGGTTGTATATAATCTCTGGTCAATATTTCTACATGCCATTACCCTGTCTCAAGTTATATGCTCCACTTCCTGAGCTACCCGCAGTCTTGATTGCTGCAGTTCCAAGAGGGTCTGTTACCAGGATGGACAGAGAGTATCTTCCATCTTTTGTAAACTGGGTAAAGTATGCTGAGTATACACCATCGTTGGCGGACGTATCAGCACCTTTTGCGTAAGAATACAGGAGTGAATAGGCTACTTGGTTAAGCGCATAAGGTTCCCAAATTACAGCCAATGATTAGCAATAGCGAAAAGAGGGTCGCATGATGAAGATGAGCCCCTGGGATTTGTTACTTTTTATTTTACATACAAACCCTTGGTCAATGCAGACGAAAAGTCACATGTCAATATATGGGTAATCATCTTGTCAAATGAATGGCCAAGTATCATCAACATCCCACTGAAGATGAAGCAATCTGATGACCATGAGACATAATTACCAATGCCAGCATCGAATAGCTCAACATCCACGGAATCTCCCTCTGGCCTCTCAACCGTTGCAACAACTTTTGCATGAACTACAGGGTTATAACCTTGGTTAACTTCGGCATATATGATAGCAGTCTGGGGGAATGTTAACTTGACGTTGTTCATCCAAGCAGTCGCTGTAACTGGAACTGTACCAGGAGCAGAGTGGGACTTTGCATTCACACCAATGATATATGCCTCGGGTAGTAAACGGGTAACGTTGTACAGCCAAATTCCAGCCTATTGTACGAGGGAAAATGGCATGAAACATGGACATGTACTCTAAGTATGTATAAAATATAGATATCTCACTCATCTTTCACTTTCAAACGTTTGGACAGCTAATACTTCGTAGATATGCATCTACTTTTGTATATTTCGCTTACCTCAGATTTTGGGATAGTGTATGTTATGATTTTGAAGTTGCTGTCGTCGTTGTACTCCGCGCTGTTCTTGTCGTATACAACACCACTTGGACTCGTTAGAGTAACCTATAATTATTCAATATATAAGCGCAAATGCCAAAAGGGAAGGGTGACTAAAAACTTTAAAGAAACCCAACGAGAAAAGCAAACTGTAAGTGTAAATCTGTCATAAAAAAGTAGACCCTATACATGTATATCTCAAAACCATGATCTAACGTGAAAAGAAACAATGTCTAACATCCCCCTTCCCCTCCAATCGAGAACCAATATCACAATCCAGGACCAGAACACCAAGGGACATTTCATTCATACTGAAGTCATAACAATACATGTTGAAGAAAAATTGAAAAATTGATAGCCAATACTCATAACATACAGTAGTTGTAGTTAGTTGTAGATACTAGTACTCATAAAAAATAGAGTATTCAGTCTCAAATGATGTGGGATGGATAAAATCCAATCTCGAAGTCCATAGGCAATTTAAAGGGTCAACATCCGTTCGCAAAGCCGTCATCATAATCCATAAAACACAACAAAATATAAGAAATATATGAGACTTTATTTCAGAGACACGAGTTTTAATTCCAATACAATTTCAGATGGGCATTGATGTTCAGTCACAAAGAAAATTGCTATTTTCAGTTTGTTCTGTTGTTTGTAAAATATGTTTAAGCTTTTTCCCAATTTTACTTTTATTTTTGGATAAATGATAGATGTAATATCAATATATTCCTGTTTCTTTTATGTCGTATCAAAGTGATAATGTCATTGTAATTTTGTGTTTCTTTATGTTGGGCATTTGTGTCAGGCTGTTAACGGTTATGTCTGGAATACACTCCCCTCCGTAAGTGTGGAAACCGAAAGTCTTAATCTGATAGTGTGTAAAAGCTTGTTAACGTTCCAATCTTTACCTTATTACAATTGTTCGGAAAATGAAAAATTTGATGTTAAACATAAACATACTTTAACAAACTATTACCAAATCAATGACGGGGGTATACCTCTACTGACGATTTCACAAAGTAGGAAAAATGAAAGCTTGTTCTGTCACCAACTGAACCATCAATTGGTATTTCCTTTACAATGGGGTCCATTCCATCGGTCACCAGAATCTTGCAACTTTGGATCTGGAATGATAGGTATTTAGGCTAGTGGTGAGGGTGATATCAATTTGATGACAATATTGCAGTTTTAACATTTAAATGAAACTTAACAATGTATACCCGCACAGATGTATATGCACTATATTGCATATCCTGAACAGTAGACGTCCGTACCTCAACGGATTGCGCTATCACGATTTCAGAAAAATAGGAATCGGAAGAGACGTACGAGTTTACAAGAGAAGTAAAAAGTGAATAAAGGAAATTTCACAGTGGTTCATGATCTTAAAACAATTTAATCAATGTCGGATATTTGAATTTCAGATATTGAAATATTTTTTCCGGGTTTTAATGACTCTCAAATGGTCTACCTCAATTGGTTTATCAGAGGCGGCACAAGATGTAGCGGCAACCGCCGCTCTGGTGAAGGCGTCGTCCAACGCTGTCGAGATATTACTTTGAGAAAAATAGAACAACATACCACCTACAATAACAAGTCAAACAGCTATCTATGTGGTACTGTTTTTGGAGTTTTATTTTTGCACTGATAATAGGGAATTTGAAAGTGCATTTTATCGTTCTCACCAGTTTCTTGTGTGAGTCTGTCCAATACAACATCAGCAGCTTCACTGTAGGCAATTGCAAAAATCGGTATGTTTTTGTTAAAGCGTCCTTTGTCTAACAAATCTTTCACAAATGGTTTGCGGTTTTCTTCTCCATCAGTCATGAGGATAATCATAGCATTAGATGTATCTCCAGATTCCAAGAGCTGTAGAATAAAAAAGGAAATAAATAAAGAATATAAGGCAACAATGGGAAGACCAATGAAAAGAATGGTTGAAGCTATTGCCAGATCAAGAATAGGTTGGTTGGTTGGTTAAAGCTATAAAAGAAAATAGAACAAAGGATTCATTACTTCCGTTCCTCGTTGAAGACCTTTTCCTATAGCAGTAAAACCATCTGGGGTAGAGGGGATCTTTGAAATAAAGTAATCTCTGTCTGTTTGACTTTTGATGAACATCATATTCTGTATAATAGAACTAGTGGTCGAGAAAGTTGCCAATCCAATTTCTGTACCGCTAGGCAATCCGGTCTGAATGAATTTGTATGTAGCTTGGCGCAAAATACTCATTCTAGTACTTGTTCCGGATGGGTTTTTGTTACGCTGAAAATCAATTATTGATGTTTAATAATGGAGCTCTTCTCTCTACATATTTAGTATCATTAGGGAAAATAATCCAGAATTCAGAGTTTTTGTATTTCAAATTCATCCTTACATTCGTATGTATTTTTTAAATTTTACGTTACAGTGTTTCTTTTAACAAGTTCTATTTTGAAATTTGGTAAAATATTGTTATGTTGACACAATTCCAACTTTTGATTACAGTCTTTTTTCTTTGCCCAGAATGCCTTTTCCTCATTTAAAAATTATTTCTCAAATCCCATAATCACGGGGGTGTACAAAATTGCATTTTATAAATCATCTACTGTTTTTCATTTTCACAAAAGTTACAATTTGGTGTCACCTTAATTTTCATTTTAAGTTTATCATTTGTTATCGCAATATTATGTAAAAATCGATTGGAAAACGATTAATCTGGTTTCTTTAGTGACTTTATGTTCTAAACACCAATAAAAGTAGTTATCTATACCTGTATCATCCTAATTATTAAATTGTTAGTAAGTTCTAAAATTGATTCTGTATTTAACTAGAATAAAACATGAGTCAAATTACGACTACAAAACGCATTTTATTTGCTATACAAATACTTACCATACTCCCCGATACATCAAACACAAGAGCGATTCGTTTACATGCAGGATTGCTGGTCCCATTCTCTCCACCCTCCACTACTTTATGTCTGCGGTAAAGCACCCGGATGTTAGGAGTTACATCCGGAATGTCACGTGGTTCATTATTGCCGGGCTGGAAATCTTCATGCTGTAAAATGACGTCCCATGTTCCCTGTTCGTTGCACATTTTATTCTGTTTATTTGGGGCAAATTTATTGTGCTGTAGAGATGCGTTACTGGAAGCGTTGGTCTCACAAAAGTTATGAACCTTTAAAGATAAATTATAATTTATTGTTTATTGTTTTTATTATCCGAAATAACAAAATAGTTTGAAAAACATTTTTTTTTTTTTTTTTATTTTTATTTTTTTATTCTGTATTAAAAGTTGTACAGATACAATATTGTAGAAAGAAAACATACAGTAGTTGCATATGCTATAATATCGTATTTATATATACTATTAGCCTTATTTAGCATAGTAGTTTTGATAACAAGAGGAAGGGAAGGGGGGGGCAAGGGAAAAGGCAAGAGGGGGATTTTTTGTGATTTTCTGCTCGATGGTTTGAGCTTGGTGAGGGGTTTTTTATGTTCCCAGTGTGTATTTTACTACGTTATGAAATGTTTGAGTTTCAACCATTGCTGTTCCATAAGTTCAGGTTTTTTTCTTCTTTGGCTGATTCTTTCTTCTATTTTTTTCTCTGTTTTTAGGAAGTTTTGCCAGCCTATCATATTAGGTCTCCTTATTTTCCTTTTACATGTGTTTAGGAATATCTTTTGTTTCAGGAATAGATGTTCGTTTTCTGTTTTTCCATCTCCGAAAAGGAATGTCTCAATTGTGGGTACATCTTCGTCAAGTTGGTTGAAAGATGTTATTAGGAAGTCTTGTACGGCCTCACAATGGTATATTCCATGTTCTAAAGTATCTATGTCACTACGGCATAGACTGCATATATCAGTGTTATAGCCGTCTATGTTCATTTGTTTTAGTTGTTTGTTATAATATAGTATCCGGAAGAATATTTTTATTTGGAAATATTTCTCTTTTGTCCTGAGAATATTTTTTCTATTTTTGTGGATTTTGGCCCACATCAAAGGATTTTGTAGTTGCAGTTTGTTTTGCCACTTATCTTCCATCTTCTTTGGCAGTTTCACAGCATTGTTCTTTTTTAGTAAAATCTTGTAAACTTCTTTATTGTTTGTCTTTTTTAACCATTCTGTGTTAATTGTGACATTCGGATTCTCGGTTTCTTCTTCATTTTCTCTCGGGTGTCTTAATTTTCTTTTCCAATTTTGGGGGATGGCTGTAATTATACTGTTATATTTCAAAGTATTCCTTTGGTTCATAACAATATCATATTTATGGCCTAATTCTGCTGCTGTGAGGAATCTATTTTCGTCCTGGATGTCTTTTATAAATTCAATACCTTTTTGTATCCATACTTCGTTTTTCATGATTTCTCCATTGATTTTTATCTGTTCATTGTGCCATAATGATTGTTGCTCTGGGTTTCTCGTATCCGGAATTGTTTGATATTTTAGACTGCACCAATTTTTGTAGACTGTCTTCAGGTACCTTAAGTCTAAAACATTTATTTTGTCACTATTTTTTGAAAGGTTCAATGCCCATATTTCTCCCTGCGTCAGGTTCTTCAGGTAGTAGTTCCATATCTTCTTCCATTTGCCACTATATGTAGGGTCTATATATTTCTTTATCCATTTGATGCTTAGGTTTTTTATGTATGATTGTAAGTGGAGCATGTTTAGGCCACCTCTCTCTTGTTCGTTCATCATTATCTTTCTTCCAATTTTGTCTGGCTTCTCATCCCATATAAAGTTGAAAAACATGTTTTCTATTTCTTTGATAAAGTCATCTGTTGGTGTGAGCACTGAACATAGATATGTCAGCTAGTTTGAAAAACATGCTAAGTGAATTCTTGTAGCAGTCTTTGACTACGTTACTGGGATATAGATATTTTAAGAGCTCGAGTATAATTGAACTTACGGGGTTTAAGAACTGCATGTTCATGACGGATGATATTGCAGGTTGGTCATCGGTGAGGTCTGGGAAGAAACGGCAATCGTCTTCAGGTAAACCGGTAGCCCTGTCTCGACCACACCTTTCAGATGTTACTCTGTGCATCGGGGTGCCTGTGGGGCAAGAAAATATGCCCCAAAATTTAGTTCTGGAATGACCACACCTTGCTCCAGAATCTTGATACTGAGAAATGCAGACTGTTACCCTTTGTCTTCTTATCTTCTGATATTTGTTGTTAAATAAAATAAAAATGTATCATCCTCCCCTGACTCTGATTGCCGCCATACCAAATAATAAGTATTCATACCTTTAATTTCTGTTGAGCATCCAGTGGGTTGAGGTCGCCCTGTTGAGTTCAGGTACCAGAATGGGTGTTCTCCTGCATTGTCATTGCCGTACTCATCAAACACTCCGTATCTCACGTGACCAAACTCGTGGACAACAACTCGTCCTATGATACATGAGTAAAATACATGGAGTATTCTGTAATACAAGTGTAGTATTTTGAAGATGTCATAGTATACAGCAATTGAGATGTCATAGGATACATAAGTAAATTGCATGTAGTATTTGAGTGCAATATGTAAATTTCCTGTGACACATCAGTAAATATGAGCGCACGAGTGCCAAAGGGAAAGGGCCAGTCATAAAGAAAACAAACCCCAACCATCCCAAACCATAATATAAGGTGAACAGAAATAAATAGACGTAATTAGTATTTTAATTGGGGCAATGGGATTACTTGATCAAAAACAAAATATATACATGTACGTGCAATGTATGATATTGATTTCTGATCAATTAGCACGTTAATGTAGTCCAATATAAAATGAAATATAATGCAATGCAATGCGATATAGTATATATATAACCTGGATCTCCCCAACGCCAAACCCGGTCTCCATCAGTGTCCAGTACATAATCCGGCGTCAAGTGCGAATACTCAGCTGGCTCCCCACACTGTCCGGTCTGCTTTGAGTATGGATTGTTGCCCCATAGAGGGTTTGGAAGATCTACGCGGTAGTCAGCTCGATCCAGCGTCTCAAGGATGGCGTCTTCATACTCTGGCTTGTCTACCCAGGTGGGCGGGATCAGGATGGAGACATTGCGGAAGTAGGAACGATGCCTCGTGGCGGTGTAGAGGTAGGACGATGCATTGATGTAGATTGCCTAAGATAGGAACGAGTTGTTATGGCATACTCCCCTCCAGAAGTTTCATCCAAGTTTGGAATAGGTGTTGCCAGTTTATGTTTTCCGATTTCATAACACAGTTATCTTTGTCATAGATTCCTGAGCACTATTAGGTTTCGAATATAAACTTCCTGAGCAATTTTAGGATTCGAATATAAATATATAAATAGACAGACGGTCCTGAAACCCTTTCTACCGTTCACGAAGTATTTTAACCTCATTGTGTTTTAATAAACAATGCATAATCAACCCACTATAATGTAGTTCCATTTTCTGCATACAAAACCCTTACTTTTTTGAAAAAATGTATACAAGACATGAACTTCTATGATAGAAAATCACAATGTTGTCACAATTTTAATCTTAACATAAATAACAATGTCTTGGCTACAAATAAAAATGATGCTTCTGGTGAGATGAGTAATATGATGGAAAAATAAGGAGAAATAAATTGAACTTGAAATTATAGAAACTATAAAAAATCTAAAATTAAAAAAGCTGTTTTTCGAAATGTGAGTGTACCATTTTTATTTGCCCATCATGTATATATGTAACCTCCACCCATACCTTATTAATTATAGATCAGTTTTTGATAAAATCATAGCTTGTGAATTGGCTATGGGTATCTCTTACGGTGGAACTATAGAATTAAATATTTATGTCATTGTGACTCACTTTGGAACTTTTTATGGTTTTATAAACTAGAATACACAATAGTTGTTTTACGCCATACACATATGAGATGAATGGTACTGTCAAGCTAGTCCTAGGGTGACGCGACATGCATTCAGTACTATTCAACTTACTAAAGAAATTCATTCATTTAGAGTTTCTTCGGTTCGACAAGAAATAAAAGAATTAAAATATGATTTAAAATACTGCCGTCAAAATTCAAAAACGTATGAATTAACAGCTTTGTAATTAGTAGAATTCAGTTATGTTATTATATCATTATTTCTAACACTTCCTCCTTTCTAATGGTATATTTAAGCCCTCGGACAATTGATATGACAAACCAATCTTTTTACACTCGCTTACTCAACTAAAGCAGTGTGTAAAATTACAAATGAATAATAACGAATAATGATTTTCTAAAAAAATATGATGAATTCAGCTCTTAATCTAAAACAGAAAACTTGAAAGTATTGAAAAATTAAAAACATATCATTATATAGTATCATTATCACAAATATTATCACTCTATCACTTACCTTAAGTTGAGCAACAATATCAATATTCTCTGCTACGTCAGCATGGATTGCTATGAGAACGTCTTGGTAACCGTTGTCGTTGTTAATGTTGATCAACGACCTCTTTCCCGCATAACTCATATGTAGGACGCCCAATATCGTCAAAAATAAATTAGACGTTTTTGATAAATCCATATCGCTGTAAATATCAAAGAAGTAGTTCTATACGTCTTGTTTTTGTGGAATAATAGCAAATAAAGTTACGGAATATCACTTCGTCTAAGGTGATTGCTTACAAGAATCTATCGCAAAGTGGATGACTAGTACTTGTAAAATAATACATGAAAAATAACGTTTTCCAAAGCCTTTGGTAATATAAGTAGACAGTGTCTATTTTTAAAAATGAATAGAATGGGCGTAAATGTTATGTTTATGTTTGTTTAGATCTCCCGTTTTAAGGGGAGCATAGACCGTTTAATTTTGATACAATTAATACAAGTCAGGTCCGTAGCCAGCTTTTGGCAAGGGGGTTCACTTTTTCAATAATTCCAGGGAGGGGTTCACAATCATTGCCCATTTTGGGCCAGGAATACTTGAAATGTGCGCAGAATGGTGAAAAACGACATAATTTCGAAATAATGTCAAGAATCGTTGGTTACATTTTTTAAAAGAGAGGTAGTAAATACATTGAAAAGATGATTGATAGTTTTTGATAATTGCCATCATTTAGAAACAATATCAAATGTACACGCACTATTCTCATGTAACTGTTGATTCTTTAAAATAAAACAATTAATTATTTTATGTCGCTACCTAGCTACAGTATTGATCTAAGCAATCTGGCAAAATTTTCTCCCTGTTATCTATGTTAATTGTTTGCGCTGTACCTTGGCTGTTACATGCAGTGGACTGAAGCTGAAATAATTACCCTCACTCATCAACTCACTCACCTCTAGTATCAGTTGTTGAATAGTCAATAAAAAATCAAATTCTACAATTGAATAGTAAAGTGTAAGCTTAAATGGATCATGGTCCATTTACCTTTCATGAGAGTCAGTGTTGGGTTTAAGTTATATAAGTCATTCGTACTGACTCATAGGATAAATAATTGCCAAATATCATCGCTGCTTTTTCTGTCTGCATATGCAGACGCTACATCAGTTTTTGTTTCAATTATGAATTGTAATTCACTTCAAAGACCATTAGGGCCACAGTTCATAACATGTTTAGTAAGAGATTTTTAAACATTGTTAAGATTTAACAATAAGATGAGTTTCTTCTATGTTACATGTCACCTGAATTTTCAATTTAAGTATATATGTTTTTAAGTTTATAAGTGTTTCTACCTATGAATTGTATCTAATCATCAGCTAATCATATAACTACTTGTAAACAGTCAGGCAGTATTTCTGTTCAATATACTTAGATGTATGACTACAAGGAATTTATAGTTTTGAAAAACATTTTATTCATTTATTTGTATATACCACGATCAGTTATATGTATTTACATTGATCTCATTGATGCATGTAATTGATCTTGATCTGTCTCATAAGTCGATAGGCTGGTAATGTTGCAAATCAACATGTTGTTTTATATTGTGTTTTATGCACGTACTTGTAACATCAGTGACACAAAAATAAACTATTTTAAACTAAAACTCTATTCAACCGATTACCCAATTCTTGGATTGAGTGGTGCAGCGTCTGTTACCTTCACAGCATCTCTCGTGCTAATGGTTGTCGGTGTTTGGTTGGTGATTTGAAACTTATGAGGAAAAACTTCATGTAGTAATTATTTGTGGAGTAAAATCCTTTAGCATTTTCTTGTATATAGCTTTATTAAATATACAGTAAAAATAATGAGAAACAACTTTTTTTAGTATATATTTATTAAAATATCTTTATTCATTATAGTAAAATATAATGGAAAAACAACATATTTATTATATTCGTATTTATTTTTATATGATTTAATTTAGACATTTTATTGCTTTACTTGTGTTTATTCTATAATTTATAAAAAGTACAAATATGTATAAGAAAAATCATGAAAAACAGACAGTGCAAAATTAACATGTTGGCCACAATCAAGAGGCTATGAATTGAGCATGAACAAAAATACGTATATTTAAATATATTTGCAAAATTATTATACGGTATAGTTTTCACAGGGTTCAATCGGTCAGACATTGTTGTCATACTGGTAAGAATGAGCAACAGCGTTTTCATAAGCGGGGTTCCTCCTGAAATTGGCACCTGGGTATACAAACGCTGGTTGACTGTATTCACTATAATCAAGGGGGTGCACTTGGGATGGGTTTGCAACATTTACAGTTGGAGCTGTTTCCAACACTTTATCCTTCTGTTTTCGTGCCTTGGCACGTCTGTTGTACACACACATAGCAACACCTATACAAACAAGCATCAGGAAACCGAGCACGCCACCTATAATGGCGATAATGAGAGTGAAATCATCTTTGGGTGTCATTGTCACCATTTCTATGGCTTCAGTCGTCGTCGTTGGTGTTGTTTCTACATTTATCTCTTCAGGGACGTCCTCCATCAATGCAGTGACAACATTTGAGTAAGGACTCGCTTTGCCAGCGTCGTCCCAACTTCTCATCACAAATGCAAACACGATGTCTTTGCCAGATCTAGGGAGTTTAATAACGAGCTTGTGTCTGGAGTTTGCGGGTTGAGGAACGAGATCCCCTTCGACGAGATAGAATTCGTTCACAATAAAAGCCTTTGATGGATCATCCAATAGTAACTCCAAGTCATCGTGCATATACACTTCAAATCTCGCAACTACAAAATGAAAGATTTACCATAAGAAAGTGCATCAAAATACATAAAACACCGATGATTTACGGAGTTTTTCAGAGTAGGCTTACCTGTTCCTGAATCATAGTCATCTCCCGGTGCCGTCCATTCCAATGTGACAGTTTCGTCTAGTTCTGAGAAGTCGGTAACTTTCAAATCAGTGACCTTGTTTGGCGGGAAAAGGTCAAGGTCTTCCGTACCAGCAGATGGAAGGTCATCTACACCAACGGCTCCAGCAGAACTCTGTCTTTGTAGATGTGGTATAGGCTCTTCCACAGTTTCAATTATGATATCTGGAAAGTAGACTATATGATGAAGAGAGTGTCAAGTCTAGGCAGGCAGGTTTTAGGTAAGCGTAGACCTGCAGGGTCATGGCCTTCAACAATAAGGCTAACTAGCTAAAATAGCAAAGAATGACTTCATAAAGCAAATATAGATATGCTAGCTCATTAACTCGGATGTGGTCAACATTTCAACATGTCCATACCTTGTCTCAAGTTATATGCTCCACTTCCTGAGCTACCCGCAGTCTTGATTGCTGCAGTTCCAAGAGGGTCTGTTACCAGGATCGACAGAGAGTATCTTCCATCTTTTGTAAACTGGGTAAAATATGCTGAGTATACACCATCGTTGGCGGACGTATCAGCACCTGTTGCGTAAGGATACAGGAGTGAATAGGCTACTTGGTTGAGCGCATAAAGTTCTCCAGTCATTATCCCAATACAACATAAAAATACATGGGTCTCTCTCATGAAAGTGGTAGCCTGGGATGTGTTATTTTTTATATCAAGTACAAACCCATTTGAAGATTTTCCACAACATATTAATTCTCTTTCGAAATTATTGTTGTTTATATGTTAAGAGAATATAAAGCATGATATTAAAAGGTATTATCAACATCCAATCTAATGACCATGAGACATAATTACCAATGCCAGCATCGAAGAGCTCAACATCCACGGAATCTCCCTCTGGCCTCTCAACCGTTGCAACAACCTTTGCATGAACCACAGGGTTATAACCTTGGTTAACTTCGGCATATATGATAGCAGTCTGGGGGTATGTTAGCTTGACGTTGTTCATCCAAGCAGTCGCTGTAACTGGAACTGTACCAGGAGCAGAGTGGGATTTTGCATTCACACCAATGAAGTATGCCCCAGGTTTTAAACGAGAAACGCTATACAGCCAAATTCCAGCCTATTGCAGAAATTTATGAGGAATTAATTGGCGTTATATACGTGCATTTGGGTATAATATGGATACATTTAAAAATCTGACGAAATTTTGTTTATACATCTTCGACTTACAAACGTTTAGAAAGCTTATACTTCGTACATATGCATTAGTTTAGTGTATTTTGCTAACCTCAGCTTTTGGGATGGTATATGTGATGATTTGGAAGTTGGTATCGTCGTTGTATTCCGCGCTGTTCTTGTTGTATACAACACCACTTGGACTAGTTAGATTTACCTATAATGTTTCAAAATAGAAAAAATATATGACATAGGGACATTATTAATTTCAATACAACTCCAGGTGGACTCAGTTGTTCAGTCAAAAAATAATTGCTATTTTCATATTTGACGAATTTTTTAAATCACCAAACATAAACATGCTTAAACACTCGATCCAAATGGGACTTTCAGTTCCAAAACTTATGCATAGGGGGATGTACCTCTACTGACGACGCCACTAGATAGGAAAAGTGGAAACTTGTCCTGTCACCAATTGAACTATCAATTGGTATTCCATTTGTGTTGGGGTCCAATCCATCGGTCACCAGAATCTTGCAACTGTGGACCTGCAATGAGAGGTACCTTGTGTATATACAGTAGGCTAGTTATGAGGGTGTATCATTTTGACAACAATTTTTTGTTCCGCAAATTCCTCAATCATTAATTATCGATGTGCAAAATGTCAGTCAGTTTTAAAAGTCTAAAAGTTAAAAGCGGCACAAGGTTTGTATCATATTGATATCTATAGCGATGTATTGATTAATAAATCGGTATCGCATGGGTCATCTTCCTCTCGACTGACCATGTCAGTTTTGCAGTTGAATATTCAAATGAAACTAAATACATGCATTTTATAGATATCCTCAAGAGTAGACGTCCGTAACTGGAATGTTTGCACAATTGAGGTTTCAGAAAAAGGAGAGAAGTACAAGAAGTAAATAACATTTCATACTCGTCCCTTGGGATTCACAATCTTAAAACAATTTAATCAATGTCGGATATTTGAATTTCAGACATTAAATGTAGGAAACTTGATAAATCAATATTTTTTCGGATTTCAGTGGCGTTAGTAACTACCTCTATTGGTTTATCAGAGGCGGCACAAGATGTAGCGGCATCCGCCGCTCTGGTGAAGGCGTCGTCCAAAGCTGTCGAGTTATCACTTTGAGAGTAATAGAACAACATACCACCTACAAAAACAACTCAAATAGCTATCATCAGGACATCGTTTTTTTGAGATTTGTTTTATTATACATTATTTATATGTACTCACCACAAAATCAAATCAACATCATTTACTCATAGAATGTACATACTGTAGTAACTTTTAAATTTTGTCAGGGAATTTGAAATGTACATATTATACCGTTAAGTTCTCACCAGTTTCCTGTGTTAGTCTGTCCAATACAACATCAGCAGCATCGCTGTAGGCAATTGCAAATATCGGTATATCTTTGTTGAAGCGCCCTTTATCTAACAAATCTTTAACAAATGGTTCGCGGTTTTCTTCTCCATCAGTCATGAGGATAATCATTGCATCAGATGTATCCCCAGATTCCAAGAGCTGAAAAATAAAATGGAAATAAAGTTAACACTATAATAGTTGTTATTCTGGAAAGAGCAACGAAAAGAATTATGGAAGCTTTGGCCAGATGAGCATCCAATTGGAAAAGAGAACAGGGGATCTTGTACCTCCATTCCTCGCTCAAGACCTTGTCCTATTGCAGTCCAACCATTTGGGGTAGAGGGAATCTTCGATGTAAAGTAATCTCTGTCAGTTTGGTTGTTGATGAACATCATATCCTGTGCAATGGAACCAGTCGTCGAGAAAGTTGCCAAACCCATTTCCGTACCACTAGGTAATCCAGTCTGAATAAACTTGTATGCAGCTTGGCGAAATATACTCATTCTGGTACTTGTTCCTGATGGGTTTTTGAAACCCTGAAAATCAATTATTGATGTTTTCACTATGGATCTCTCTTTTTAACATATTCAGTATCAAAAGGGGGAAAAACCCAGAATTCATAGATGAACTACTTATATATATATTAAGATACATGTAGGTGCATATTTTGCATTATGGGTTGTTTCCTTATACATCGGTGATTTTTTCTGTTTATTCTATTTAGATATTACATTACAATTTGCAACATTAGCGACAATTAACAAAATTTCTACGAAAACAGGCATTTTATTTCCTTTACAAATACTTACCATACTCCCCGATACATCAAACACAAGAGCGATGCGTTTACACGCAGGCTTGCTGCTTCCAATTTCTCCACCCCCTACTCCTTTATATCTGCGGTAAAGCACCCGGATGTTAGGAGTTACATCCGAAATGTCACGTGGTTCATTATTGCCGGGCTGAAAATCTTCATGCTGTAAAATGACGTCCCATGTTCCCTGTTCGTTGCACATCTTGTTTTGTTTATTTGGAGCAAATTTATTGTGCTGTAGAGATGCGTTACTGGAAGCGTTGGTCTCACAGAAATGATGAACCTTCAAAGAAGATAAATTATATAACTGTTTATCAATTTAAATTACAAATAATTTTAAAAGTAAGAAATGATGCAGAAAAAATATTCAAAATATTGTCACTTAAACTTATTGTACCTTATCGCATAATAACGTACAGTTACGCCTTTTGCCCCCATAGGGCATTTAAAGTGAGCCCGAACAAATTCGGTGTAATAGAGTTGCATATGTTGGGGAAAATGTGTGGCAAAGTAAGTGAAATATATCTAAATCAAAACTGAACGAGCCATCTATTCTTTACATTTCTTTAGATACCAAGTCAGTCTGCAGTTTTTGTTATGATATATGTCTAGGTTGTTCTATAATATAAATATTTTAATAGCTAAATTATACTTGAACTTACGGGGTTCAAGAACTGCATGTTCATGACGGATGATATTGCAGGTTGGGCATCGGTGAGGTCTGGGAAGAAACGGCAATCGTCTTCTGGTAAACCAGTAGCCCTGTCTCGGCCACACCTTCCAAATGTTACCCTGTGCATCGGGGTGCCTATGTGTTAAAAAAGGGAAATGTGTATCCTCAAAATATAGTTCTAGATAGATGACCACGTCTAGCTCCCGATCTTTGCTATCGGCAACCCCCACCCCCGGGCCCCCACCCCGCTCCTGTGGCCTATGTTTTTAAATAAACTATATGTTTCAACCACCTCCTGAATTGTACCTTTAATTTCTGCTGAGCAACCAGTGGGTTCAGGTCGTCCTCTTGAGTTCAGGTACCAGAATGGGTGTTCTCCTGCATTGTCATTGCCGTACTCATCAAACACTCCGTATCTCACGTGACCAAACTCGTGGACAACAACACGACCTAGGATGCAACAGTAAATACATGTACGTATGTACGTATGGTTTACAGGTACGCAACTTATAAGCTAGGACATGTAAAACATATGGAGTATTGGAATGTTGTGCAATGCATATAATATAATAAAATGGCTGAATCCCGGCAGATGCATCACTTGCCACTAAACTGCGTATAGAGATAAAAAAAATGCTGAATGTTAATATCGCTAGTTTTTGCTTTAACTTTGTCAGAGAGGCTATGTAATTATTTGAGCAAAAAGCTTCATGTATAACAAAATATAACATGTAACCTATTGTTTTAGAGAATTCTGATAAAATAGTAAGTTTATACACATGTATATACTGTAGTATATCATATAATATTATAATATAATGCAATATATAATATAATATACAATGTTACCTGGATCTCCCCAACGCCAAACCCGGTCTCCATCAGTGTCCAGTACATAATCTGGCGTCAAGTGCGAATACTCAGCTGGCTCCCCACACTGTCCAGTCTGCTTGGAGTATGGGTTGTTGCCCCATAGAGGGTTTGGAAGATCTACGCGGTAGTCAGCTCGATCCAGTGTCTCAAGGATGGCGTCTTCATACTCTGGCTTGTCTACCCAGGTGGGCGGGATCAGGATGGAGACATTGCGGAAGTAGGAACGCTGCCTCGTGGCGGTGTAGAGGTAAGATGATGCATTGATGTAGATTGCCTAAAATGGAAACAAGCTTTAAAATAGTCTTAATAGCTAACAGTTCATAATGTGCATTCAAGTTTGGATTACGTGATAAGGAGTGTGGGGGGGGGTATATTGTACTATCTCACCATTCAAAATATCGGATGATTGAAAATGTCAATACATTTTTTAATAACCCAGATTCTTTTTGACCTTGATAGCAATTTCTTGAAACCCTTAAAAGAAGAAATGATCGATGACTCGGGGGAATATGTAGATGTGTTGTTTATCAAACGCTTGAGCTCTGCATAAATAACTTATAATTGTTTCACTTGTTGAATAGCCCAGTGTAAGAGGCTCTTGTGTTTGGTGGACACCAAAAATCATATTTGTTTTAGGTTTTTATATTGAACACTCTACTGCAACGCATACGTGTATGTAGTTTGATGTATAAAAATGAGAAAGTTTGATCTTTATGAAAGTGGCCCAACCTAAATATAAACCCCTCAAAAATAATTCATGGGAACCTGTAACCTTCACTGTCAATAAAACAAACATTCTTTTAGAAAATGTATTGCCGACAAACCAAGTAACACGAGAAATTCAAACATCTTTGAGGGGATTGGAATAAATCTGTAGAAATTTTATTAGGTCTAAATTGAGTTGAGTTGATGAACAATTTTGGGGATATTTAGGCCGGACAGATTTAACGATTAGGAACTTTAAGAGAAAGTATGCTTTGCAAGACAAGTGCTGTTTTGCATGTAGGAAGCACATCAAAATAACCCATCGACTCATTTTAAGAAGACTTTAGAACATTCAAAAATGTTTATAGGTCTTAAAGGTGATATCTTTAATTGCCTTGAGGATTTCGGATATTTCACATTTTTAAGCATCTTAAATATCCATAGCTTTAACAACTTCATCATATTTCAGTACATGATATAAGGACACATGTTCCAATGAACTTGTAATATTTGGGTGTTCGCTACAATACTTGAATTCAATTAACAGCTGTTCTGCAATAACAATTAATTAATTAATTCATTAATTACTAGCAAGTCACATGAATATAAGGGTTATCTGTCCTCTATCTTTAGTAAGGAAAATAAAGGTGTAATGTACACGTTATCTAATCTCTGTGAAACACATGTACATGTACATGATATGAACTATTTAAAGTTCACAAAAGAGATCAAGATCTAGTGTACATTAATTGAAAAAGATGAACATTATAAAATTATATTATAGTTAAGAGACAAATATATCTGAGAAGAGGGGGAAATCGTGTTTTTATGACAACAATATCTAATCAGCTTTGTAACTATCGGAATTCTGTAATGTTATTGTAACTTTATTTCTGACACTCCCTCCTTTCTGATGGTATATTCAAACCTTTCGAATGAATAGAGTCAACCGTTTGCCCTCGCATGAACAGCTTAAAGCAATGTATATAATACCAATGACAACAAATGATAATTCGGCAAAAAACACTGAATATAGAATTTATTATTTAACATGATTAATTCATCTCTTAATTTGAAATTAAAACCTTGATAAAAATTTACGACAATTTACAACATAATCATTGTATCACCTACCTTTAGTTGGGCAACAATATCGCTATTTTCTGCCACGTCGGGATGAATTGCAATGAGAACGTCTTGGTAACCGTTGTCGTTGTTAATATTGATCAGCGACCTCTTTCCCGCATAACTCATATGCAGGACGCCCAATATCGTCAAAAATAAATTAAACGTTTTTGATATTTCCATATCCCTATAAGAATCAAAGAAGTAGTTCTATACGTCTTGTTTTTGTGGATTAATAACAAATAAAGTTACAAAATATCACTTCGCCTAAATAAGGTGATTACTTACCAGAATCGACCGCAAAGTGGATGACTAGTACTTGTAAAAAACTAACGTCACATTTTGTGAAGTACTAAATGCATGGGATTAACATGCTCGCTTGACATTTGTTAAAATATATAAATTTTATTGAGGCTTGAACCTCCTCTTGAGCATACGAGAACAATTCACATCGGGTATTTAGGACGATTTTGAGTTCGTTAGGAAGTACTTGGGCCTCAACTCCGCCCTTGTAGATCAAACGTCCACCAACACAACAACCGGTAGCATGATTGCGATTTGACGCATAGAATTAAAAATGGTCAAATGATTATCATTTTCAAATATCTTCATAGTTTTTAACATGTTTTTAGTCGTTTTTATTAATTTTTTTTGAATATAAAATTATTTGAGAAATTATCATTTTTCAACTTGTTCATAATTTACAACTTGTTTGTTTTTAATTGTTTTGTCAATAAACATATTTTATTACTATGAATTAATATTTTCAAAACAAAACAATTTACGAAGCAATAAAATATCTTTATCATTCACACGGTGTTCGACCCAAACGCTCTTGCATGCACGACAGAGCGTTTCATTACTGAAGCTAAACAAAGAAACGCTCCAGAGTAGGAAAAATGGCGGGCGGGAATGATGGACCGTCTGACGATTTCCCAAATAATGGGAATAAGGGGTATGTGTTATTTATTTCGAGTATATCGTTCGATGGGTGTGATATTCAAGTTGTACTTGGCTGGTTGTTGACGTTTGAAGCAACTTGGAAGTGCTGTACGAAGCAGAAAAGTTATCAAAATTCATTAACGAATTTGTCAGTCTACCGGTCAAAACCACTTTTGTCGAGACATGTAAAGATAAGAGCATGAGAGTATATTTTGGTCAATTTACAAAGCTTCAACGCACCATACATTATCGTAATTGTGATTTCATGACCGAAAATCCAGTCTTAAAAATGATAACAATCTCATATCAAAGAAACGCTGCGACCTGGTTAACACAGTGAACTGGAAACGCTGCGGTACTATGTTTAGGAATAATTTAGGAATTAGCTTGACTTTCCTTTTCAGGAAGAGAAAGAAAGGATCTATTATATCACTTGGCATCAAAAGAAGAAAGATTAATTCACATATAAACGTTTTGTTTCTTTGTCAATAGTTTTAGCACACATGTAGGCATAGTATCTGATGTAGGCTTCAGTCGGCTTGTTGCATGTGTAGCACTACCAGGTTGGGAAGTTTCAATTTGCCTAGCAAGTACGGACACGTTTTTTAGATATAGTTTTGATTACGAACTTTTTGAATGATCTGAAAATAATATCAAAACAAAATGGTAAGAACGTTTCTAAAGTTTGTGTCCAAAATCGACGGAGCGTTTCGAGGAAAACAAGTGATTTTTCGAAAACAGTTAATGGATTTGCACTGGGATTTTAGCAAATGAGAATATACGAGTTTGTGATGTACTACTTTGACAGAAAGATTGACCATAACGTATGATATGTAGAGGAAACGAGTGAAACAATACTTACGGTCATAGTGGGATCTTCAATAGCCGCCATTTTATTTCGCTCAGCAGCGTTTCCACGTGAATGAAACGCCCCGTCGTGCATGTAAGAGCGTTTGGGTTGGACACCGTGATTCACACATGATATATGCATGTAATGATTGAAATGTTACCTTTAAGGCAACCGGGCTGTTACTTTTGGACCGGCCTTTATTAGCGCATTCTTTATAACTTGTGCGCGAGTTTCATAATTTTAATCATAAAGGTAGAATACTCATTATACTCAGCCTACCTTATATTTAACAACTTTCCACTAATTGTGTTTTGCCGTTCTTATACTCATCTCTTCCTTTAAGGGACTGTACTGTAAATGGAATGGGAGAAAGTCGTGATCTCACACAATGGGATTTTGATGACAATCGCTCATGATTTATCGAGATATAAACTGAAGATGATTGTACCTGTAATTGTAGTTTTCCTTATTAGAATTATTTAAAGTGCCTGTTTACTTCAAATAATTTGAGGTAAATGTTTATTACACTTGTCCAACTGTACAAAAAAATAACTCAATAAATTTACTTTTAATTTGTCAAGACGTACGTCATCAACTCACTTGTGATTGTTTTCTCGTAATTTAGATGTTTACCACTAAGCTTATACAGGGTGTCTCAAAAAATGTGCCCAAAAGTACATCAACAGCACAGAGATAAACCAATCAATATTTTCAGACATTTTTTGCATGGTCGTGTAGCCAAAACATGAATGTTTTCTCCCCAATACATAATTTTTATTTCAGTTTTGCCTTTTACACCAATGTTACCTCATATTTCGAAGACAATATGTATCCTAACTGCTACATTGTTCATAATAAAAAAACACAGTTGTTTCAAATCGGCCGATTTCTCGATGTCCCGGGCGCCGTTGACTTTTCTCCAATGTCTTGAATTTGCCGTAAGTACATGTATTGTCACATTTGGTACGAGCACTGTTTGGCGCAAGCAATCAATGTGTTTGCCGGGAAAATCGAACAGACATCTCAAGAATATCGTAATACTATCGCACGATTATATTTCGCAAGGCTATCTGACGCATCATGTGACCTACATGTAGGCATAAGGAAGAATCAGTCTGACCCTGGCCAGAGTATAGACGAAAAAGGAAGTTTCAACAGAGGTCTCATACTCATAGGGTGATTCATCGTTAGGCGAACACGATTAAATGCTAGTTAAACCTGCACATCACTCCAAAACGCAATATGTTGACATATATTATTTTTACATTTTCAAGCTCTAGTATAAAGTTGGTGTAAATAAAAATTGTTTATTTCTGCGCAATATCAAAGCGAAATGATTTAGTTAAAAAATAAAAATGTTTGCGCGGGATTCTAACCCGGGCCGCCTGCGTACAAAGGGAGCATTCTACCGCTGAGCTACCAGTTTAGTACGAAGACGAGTAATTAAACACTACTTATTTTAAGTGTTATAATTTGGTAGTGACGTCATGTTCTAAATTTAGAAACCTTCCAAATATCATATCGATGCCGACAATCGAAGCAATTCAAAGAACAATCTTTATAATGACACATTTATCTTGAGTATTTTTGCCCCATTTGCAGGGGCGTAGGAAGGTGTAAATTCAACACTACGCCAAAAAAACGCCAAAAATTTGAAACAATTGTGTCAAATCTTCTTTATCAAAACGCCTATTTTATTGTCATTTTATGGCAATAGAGATTTTAAGCTTGCAATGTTTTCACAACCTAAATGTGAACGGAACTAGTTAAGCGATGTATTTGTATGGGCGATTTGGCATACGTATAGGTTGGCGTTTCGATTTTATATGCAAGCTTAATATCCCTGATACCCTCTTTAATGTGCTTAAAATGTTCGAATGATTTTCATCATTTAATATCACCATGGAAAGCCGATCTTTTAAATCTCGACACAAATCATTCTCACTTTTCTTATGTCTCGAACGATAAAGACGATCGATTTCCAAATAACAATGAGAGATTTGTAATCATTTTCGAATAATTGAATTGAGATATATATTATTGTCTGATTCCATCGTGTATAGTACCGTGCAATACGACACGTACCAGATTAAAGAATCTAGCTTGATCAATTGATTTAAAGAAACGCATTCGTGATCAATGATACAATTAATCCTAATGTCTGCAACCTTTTTTATAACACTAGTTCGCAAGACCAAATAAACCTCCCATCACAAAGGTCAAATCGAAGTCAGCGTGACTTAGGGGGTGCCAAAAATTTTATATTTCATAAAAACAATAATCTATTATCTTTCAAATGAAATAAAAATCTAGGTAATAGCTTTTCTAGAACTGAAATCAATGGAACGCGTAATTGAATAATCAACATTTTCAAGTTATTTTTGTCTTTAATAGCGGGATCAGATGTCCAGATATAACCCCTTTTTTGTTCGGCTTTTTCAGGAAAGCAACAAACTTGGCACATTTGTAGAAACATATGATTTGAGTGGAAAATGATTTCAGGGCAAGTGGTTGGGGGTGGTCTTCATGGATTTTTTTACCTCTGACCCCCACCCCTATCAGGTGAGGAGGGGTAAATTATAAAAAATAAATAAAAATGGTTTCAAAGTATTTTTGTTTAAATGACTTCATTTGGTGATTGCTTTGAGCCTTGAAATGATGTAAAACTCATTTTAGAAGTGGTATTTAGTGAGGAAAATACATTTTAACCCAATTATCCAGGAGAAATTCATTATTTAAAGGGCCAAATATGGGACGTCCATTACTGTATTTCAAGAATGTGATGACTAATAGTCTTAAAAAAATTCACAGTAATAGAAGTATAAGTGTTTATTGCAGATAGAAAATATTGCTTTGGTAGCTGATGTATTCTCAGAGAAAAAAATTATCAAAATTTCAATTTTTTGGTGCATTTGGCTCAGGGGTAACCTTAAAAAAAAAATTAAATGAGCTTGAAATGGTGTATATAATCTTGTTTTGTCATAACATTTCTAAGGAGGTGGAAAAATGATCAGATTTTGATTTAGCTTTTGACTGGTTATAGGTGGCCTCATTTTACCATAATAATTTTCAAGATATGTCACATTTGCAACTCAAATAAGCTCAAAATGGCATTTTGTCATATTCATATGTTCATATATGCATACTGAGATATAAAGTGATAAATCAATGAAGTATTATATAAAGATATAAGGTTTAAGAACACTTGCATCACCTCTGGGTACACCTTCCATTCCTCCAAATCAGATGATTTAGAGTAGTAGTTAAATGCAGATGTGACATCGCATAGAATGATTGAATGAAAAATGGGGAGGACTAAACTTTGGTCATGGCCAATTGATCTTGCAATATCATGCACAGATAGTTATTGAATGGATTTTCTTTTACCAAATGCAATCCAAGATGTAGTGGGGACAAGAGGGAGCTGTC